ACGGGGTGACCAAGAAAAATCAACGCAGCTTCTTGGGCGGGGGGGGGGCCAGTTCACCCCTTACACGAGCGCTGTGAACTGAGTGGGGGCTCCTGAGCCTGTCCATCCTGTCCCATGGCCACAAGCTATAGAGACCCGCCCAGGTCTTCTGGCTTTCCACCGTCAGAGCCCGACCCGTCACAGCCCGACCCGGGTGAAACCACGTGGCCCTCTCAGCAGACCCACCGGTGTCCCCCCCAAGGCAGGCCGCGGAGAGCGAGGGCCTGGTGATCCGAAGGCCGAACTTCACCAAGGAAGGGGGCTTCCCCTTGGCCGAGGCGGGAGGCGGCCTGGGGTTCTTCTGGTGGAGAGCGGAAGTCCCCGAAAAAGGTGGGTGGCTGGGGTTTTCTGAGCGTTGGCATGAAGGGCTGGGCACCAATTGACATGGAGTCAACATTCCAACGGTGGGGAAGACACCGCTGGCGAGGGACCCCGGTTTTTCTTCCGGCGAAACCCGGAGGGAAGACTTCAATGGCCAGACTTCCGCGCTTTCGGAGGTGCTGGAGATGGTGAATTCCAAGACTGCTCTGGTGGTGCTCAGTGACTTGCAATGAACGACCAGCGGCTCGTTCGACCGACGAGAAAGGAGGAGCAGACGTGTGTTGTGTTTGCAAGGGCAAGGAAGTCTCCCTTGGTGTGTTTCGAAGGTGAATGGAAATCTACCTACTACTAATCATATAGTCGACTATTAATCAGTATATTTATATACTACGTAGAATGTTTCAAGTCTCTTTTTAGTTAGATGATTTCGATCTTCGGCCGCGTGCCGCGTGGAGGGAGCCTCTGGTGTTCGCTGAAAGGGGGACTTGTGAGCATTCATCCAGCTTCTATAGTGGAGCTTTTCATTGGAAGCCGATCATTCAAACACCGGCGGGATCCCGATTTGCGCCAAACTCATGTAAGTTGACAGTGTCGGTTCCCTAGATTTGGCCATTCTTCGGCGAAGCGAACCATCTCACCCATCTCAGCAACCACTTGGGAAGGATCCAGCATCAATTTGTGCGCAACGTCTGGGAGACGACGAAAAAGGTGTTTTCAGCGAAAGCAAAGAAAAGCTGCAGCACGCTGCGATCGAATAGAGGGCCGCAAGGAGACCTACCCAGATTCATCAAGATTCCTCCCTCAAATTGGGTCAAGTTAGCAGATGTTTGACGGTTTGACGTTTTTGCTGCTGGGACAGACACATTCTTTTTCCAGGTGACGCCACAAGTACTGTATACTCACCCAATCAACAACGAAGATGAAAGGCCACTGGGGGGTTCCATGGCTGGTATCCTGGCATAATTTGACCCAGGTTGTGTACCACGAAGGAATATTTGTGGATGAAAAGGTCACTTTCCCTTCAAGAAAGCCTTGGACATAAGCTTCGACCCTGGCCTTTCCAGTATTCCTTGTCCTGCAAATCGGGCATTTCTTGCAGCTCAGATCCGCTCTCCACTTCCGTGCGGGGTCGTTTGGACGCGGAGGCAATCCCAACAACCCCACGGGCACGGAGATCCCTCGCGAGGCTATCATCCAAGTGCCCCTTGGGCCAGACCACGTCGGCGCGGGAGAGGTGATTGGGTCACAAGGTCCTCCACGAGCCCAAGGGGGGATGGCGACGTACCAGGGCCAGAAACTACGTAGGCCACATGGATATTTCTCAGATAAGATGATCCAATGGGCGAAATATTTGTAATTATCCAATGATCCAATGGGTGAAAACTGAGTGGCCAGATAATATATATATATATAATATATATATATATTTAGATAACCCCAGAATTCTTCACTACCAAGTTCACCTCCTTTCTGAGACAGGAGTCCAAGAATCCGCAGTGGCATGGGCCCAAGTGATACAGATTCGTGGTGTGATACAGCTCGGCGGCACAACGAATCCGGGGAGCGAGGGACAGCATATGTTACGAACGTAGATCGAACGTAGCGGAACTAGCTGTTCGTAGTAATGCCCAACTGTTGCTAGTAGCGATGCCTTGTTACTAGTAGCTTCTAGCTACTACAGTTATTTTTTTAAATACTCTTTTCCTTTTCCATCCCGAGTTCCTGGCCACAAAAGCTCCTCCAGAGTACAAGAGCACAAGCGTTCTTCGAGTTTCCTAGCCACATGGCGAACGCTGGCGGACCATCTTCCAAGATGCTCTTCCGTCAGACCACCTGGCGGACCCCAGAGAACGGCCTCACGTGGTGACCCTCTTTCAGGTCATCCGGTCCGACCGATCTCACTCGACCGCCTCTTCCGACGGAACGCTTCCCACTGGGAGGCTGGAGACGGTGAAGTGTGCTGTCTTGGTGGACGAGTGCTACTTCGAGTTCATGGATCCCAAGAGCACCGTGGTGCGCCTCGGAGCACCGAACGGGCCCGCGGTGGGAGACGCAGACGCCACGCACGCGGTGGGAGACGCTGCGGAGAAGCTGCGGAGACGATCGGTGTTTCCTTGGTTCTTGATTCGGGGCGACGGGGTTCGTTGGAAGTTCTCAGAGCGGAAGGGGCCTGAAAGAGGGTCACGAAATCTAGACCATCTCTGCTGTCTGCAGGAGGTGATGATGCCAACAAAACTCACCACCGGATCGGTGTTCCCAAGCCACCGGTGAATGAATGTGAATGATCCAGCAGTCACAAGACGGGGTGCGATCCATGGAGGTTAGGGGGTGCCCATGATCCACTCACTTAGAGACTAAGAACCACCCCTTTGTGACTCCTGGATCGTGTTATCTTCAAAGGTGTTCTGAACTTCTACAACTTCCTCGCATGCAGGTGCTGCTGTAGACTTGAAACGCAACACCCACGAAAAAATCCACCGAAACTCCAAACTCTTTGACCGTAACCCGTCATGGATGTATTTTTGGGAGAGTTGGCCGTCACGGCCGCCCCGCGCCGCGCCCAGGGGTGAAGTGGATCGCTTTCCGAACCTCTTCGTGAGCCGGACCTTCTCAAAGACCTGGGGCATTCCCAGTTTGCGGCTGGGATACCTGGTATCCTGGGCACCGAGGTTATTCGTTTGGTTGTTGTGACGCGATTCGTTTGTTTTGACCGTGTTTGACTCCCTTTAGTTGAGGGACAAGTATGGATGAAGCAAAATGGGATGCAAAAGGGCTCCTGAGGGGTGACTTTTGCAAAAAAAAAAACTTCTTCCTCCTCCTCCTCAGGTCCTCCTCCTCCTCCTCCTTCTTCTTGTTCGGGATTTTGACAGATCAAGACCAACAAGACCAACAGCCCCCCTTAGGCCCTAGGCTTAGCCTGGTGGTTGTTAAGACGTGCCCCGCCACGGGCGCCTGCCCGGCAAGCCGAGGTATCCACCAAGCCCAACGTGGATGCCTTGACCTGCGTTCGCGGACCCTACGACATCAACCAGAGCCTTGGTGGACGACGGCACCGACGTCACCGATTGATGTCCCCCCTGCAATCAGGATCCGAAGTCGCCCTGAAATCGGATCCATGCGGTTCGTGGATGGCATGGTGATCCGTAGAGGACGGAGGACCAGGTTTCTGAAGGTCGAAGAGGCGGTTTTTTCACTTCGTTAATGACTGGTATGCTTAGTCTGGGTGAGGAGCGACTGGTCCTCAATTGTTCGATAGATCTCTCAGCCACTGTAGCCGCTGCGGGACATGGTCAAATGAAGCATCGCCCTAGCCCTAGAACACCCTAGCGCAAAGTGAACCTGTTTCAACTGACCGTTCTTTGCAAACACAATGTGTGTCCACACCTGCAGTGCGCTGCGGTGAGTCCGTGCGTCTTTTCCGAGGATTGCCGTGGTAGGCATCACCGCGGCGTTGAAGCAGCGGCAGTATGTCTTCGAGTATGTGCGGGAGGTGATGGAACCTGGGCCTCGAAATCGACACATGTCCGTCTCGGTGAGTCAGATGCGCCTCTGAACTCGCAATGACCAAGATCCGGAAAGCTGCATGCTTTTCGAGATCTTGTAAGCCAGTCTATAGGAATCTATAGGGCTTACTTGAACATTTGTTGCACTCCAAGCGCCAGTGAGTCTAATTAGTGTTGAAGGAAGAAATCACAGACCACCCATGAATACCCCTCACATCCCCTCACTTTTTCCAGAGCTTTGCTTCATCCCTCTGTCTTGGAACACCTTTTCATCAGTCGCATTGGTTCTTGCATCCTGCCAGTCATATGGCTCCAGTGGTGCTCCTTCGCAGCCGCCCCGTCACGTTGCTCCCTGGTCGCTCCGCGCGGACGCGCAGCCTCCGCGCGGTGAGCGTGGTGACGCACACCGACCGAACGGGCTTCGCCATGCCGAGCGCCATCCACACGGGCGTGCGACGGGGCGTGAGCAGTGCATCGGAGCCTGGGGCGACGGTGAAACGGGGTGGGGGGGGGCAGGGGAACATGGTCAGGATCGATCTCCTGATCCATTTTAACCCAATATAGCTGGATTCTCCATCAGTTTACGTTCTTTTTTTGAATTCATCTCACCTGGCGACGCTCCAACCATTTCTGCAGAAGCTCGACCTTCGGGGTTCATCCTCATCCTCATCCACATCCTGGGGGACTTCTTGAGTTTGTCCGGGGGTTTGATTTGCGCAAGCCTCGTGGCATCCGCAAGCCTCGTGGTTCCGGAGGATAAGATCCGACGCTTCGGCGCGGTGGCGTGCTTCATTGCGATCGAGAAGGCGATGATCGCCACAGGCCACATCGTCTGGGCGCGTCCTGGGCGGGTTGTTGCCGAGTGTGCACACCCATCGACCATTGTCTTGGGTGGATGGGTCAATTGACCGCAGCACAAAAGGGGGGATGCTGCTATTCTCCCGTCCACAGTCATGTAGTCATGTAGACTGACGATCAATTACCCCCCGCCTGTTTTGATTGTAAAACTTCTACTATATAAATATATCATTATATTTATCAAATGTAGTCTGTACTTCCTGGAGCTTGAAGTGAGTCTTTTGATTGGAACGTCAGCGCCACAGGTGTCGCAATGGACACCCCATGTTTCTGGTGCCACAGGTGTCGATGCGATGTCCGTGCGATGCCTTTTCCGTGCCTTCGGCGCGCGCGGCGCTAGGCTTGTCGAGCTACCTGCCAATCACGCTGCTGGGCATGTTTAGCCTGTTCGGCTTCCTGCTCCTTTTGGAGGTCACTGGGCAACCGGAGGCCGCCATGGGCCTTTTTCGCTTTCTGGAGCCTGGCTATCGCGCCTCGGCCATGGGCAGGTTGATGGATTTGCACGCGGCTGCCCTCTCACTCTCGAAAGCTTAGAACAACGGGTATGTAGCGCAAGACTTGCTGGATGAAATGGTGGAATCTGGAGCCTTCTCTCTTGCACCACAAGATTCTTGCTTGAGTCATTGAGGGAGACATTCCTTGATAGATCATGTCATAAGTCATATTTAGATGGTTTGGAACCTCCATTACCGCGCTGGAGTACAGAGAGAATGGCAATGTGAATGTCAGCAAATGTGATCAGTCTACAACTTTCCCAAAATATATAGCCAGTGGGCCCTTGGAGATTCTCTTTGACGATCTTTTCGGAGAGAAGATGTGAGGCTTCTTGCTGAAGTGGGCGCCGGTCTTCTTCACCCCGGCCTTAGCGACTTGGCCAGTTGGAGAGGAGACACTGTCCCATGAATTCACCAGCTTTTTGGTCAATTTTTCAATTTGATATAGTCCCTTCTATGTAGTCTGTCGATTGTGGTCGCGTGGGAGGGGTGTAAAATTGCACCCGCAGACGAAGACGGATTGCGCAGACACTTTCCTGAGATGGATACGCACTGAACCGAAGACGATTCCTGGGCAAAGACGCAGACGAAGACGCATCGCCCGCAGACGAATTCCCCAGCGCAGACGAATTCCCTAGCGAAGACGAAGACGAAGACACATTCCGTGAAACGGTATAAACTTCCAACGGAGAAAAAAACCGGACACGGAAGGAACAGCCCGAAACAAAAGAAAGACTTGAAGCGGAAAAATACCGGATACGAAAACAACAGACCAGAAACGGATAAGACTTGAAACGGAAAAAAGCCGGATACGGAGGAAACAGAACGGATAAGACTTGAAACGGGAAAAAGACACGGAAGGAACAGCCCGAAGCGGAAGAAAGACTTGAAACGGGAAAATGCCGGATACGAAAACAACAGACCAGAAACGGATAAGACTTAGAAACGGAAAAAAACCGGATACGGAGGAAACAGACTAAGCGCGGAAACCATCAGACTTGGGTCCGCGCGCGCGCGCGCGCGCCGCACTCAGCTCTACAATATTCAACTTCCGGCGCGCGCGAGCACGGACCCAAAACATTGTCCGACATGCCACGGTTTGCTGAAATGGGAAAAACAGAGTTGCAAGGGAAAAAGACGGAAACTTCCCCCCTGCTTTCCAGAGAATCTTGAAATCTTGTTGTTGGAAGCCTTTGAATCATGCTGGCCCTGAACATACGCCAGACATGGTTTTGAACTCCACCTCAGCACCCTAAACAAAAAACCCACCTGCATACATACAGGGAGAAGCTTTTTCACCGATAAATAGATACACATCACTACACATTATTTTAAACTCGGGTGCGCGCGCGCGCGCGCCTACAGTTTATAGTCTCAGTTTGTTTCAAGAGCATTGAGTCGAAGACACATTCGCCGACGACACCTTGAACCCTGACGACACAGAGACACTGACGACACATTGTGCAGACAGATTTCCTGGACAGATTTATTCTTTTAAAGAATAATTTGTCCAGGCCTCCCACCGTCGCATAGTCGTCGTAGTGGCTTGGACCTGCAAGAACAGGGCCACATGAAGAACAGGTCCACTGGGCTCCAAAGACCACCGATTTCGGAGGGGAGGGGGGGGTTAAGTTATGCGGTAAAAAAGTGTACAAGAGCGTCTTTCTCATTTTACGACCAGCCAGAAGGAGCTTTCGGATGCATTTTTTGATGTTTTTTGCGGAGAGTCCATTTCTTTGCCTCTTGCTTCGTTTCAGCTTCAGCAGCTTCAGCAGCTTGCTTCAGGTGAAGTTGCCTCTGGTCGAGGAGCCGATTTCCCCCTTCGAGTTCCTGAGGGTGGCGTTGCTGATCTTTGTCGGGGGCATGATCCAGATGGCGGCCGTGGCCCGGCTGGCCGCTCGGCGTTGCGGGTTTGGACCTGGTGCGGAGCCCTTTTGTTGGACCAATGCAGACAGGTGACATGAAGGGGTCTCAATACAAAGAAGGGGGTTCCACATTGCATTGCTTTTGAGGGCTTCTTTTTGGTGACATGTTGCAGGTTTGACCCGATGTGGTGTCACATTCTGGGCCATGAGTTATTGAGAAGATCCGTGAAAGCCAAGAAAGTGGGGTGTGAAGCCAGTTGCAGCACGCTGCCAAATTGCCAAATATGGCAGATAGAGCATGAACATGAATCAAAGGGTTCAAGCAACATGGTGTTGACATGTTTATGTAATCACATCGCCAAATCATTTGTTCGCATGGTTTCGATAAAAACAGTTGAAAGACATCGACAGGTCACGTGTCTTGGACTGTACATCCGGTCCTGGTACTCCAGGGTCCACAGGCTCTGCATCTTGGAAGTCCGCTAAGGTTGCTGAAGATCCAGAAGTCTGTGTTTCTCCCTCGGAAACAGCAACAATACTACAGATATATATATATATACTAGAACGTCTGTGTGGCATAGGGTTTTAAGGTGTTTTTACGTCCAGTCCTGCCCTATGTGTATAGTTTTCTAAATGAAACTATAACTTCAAGGTCAACGTTTTTGGTTTGTTTTGCCAGAACTCTGAAGTAGTGATTCCAAAGAGTGACTAGGACTATAAGAATGCAACAATGCAAGTGTTTTTTTTACACCTCATAGTTTTCTTGTACTAGTAACAAGCTTTAAAAAAACACCTCATACTTTTTTGGTACTCGTAACGAGGTCATCGCTACTATTATCAAGGGCATCGTTACTATATAGTAACAAGGGCATTGCTAGTAGTAACAAGGGCATCACTAGATATTACCAGTATTGATTTTGAAGTTCTTTTCCAAACTCTGAAGTTGTGAACACCCTCCACGAACCTCCGCGGGACAAGAAGAGATCCACCCATGACCACGGCCGCGAACCTGAGGCGCGGAGAGACCAAACACCCCCACACCCTGCAGAGAAGGGGTGCGGATGCGCGTTAGGCCGCGTTTTTTCCGCGAAAGCGACGGATCTCCCATTGATGAACATTTGGATTGAAACACCTCTTCAATCCGGGGAGTGCACATGTACCAAGGCTCAGTGGTTCATCTCGCAAGAGCCGAAGAAGGTCATCGAAGAAGTGGAGGCCTCACCCGCGGCGGCCTCCACGGATTCCTCGCCACAAGGACAGGGACTGGGGTCACGGACCGCGGTGTGAACTGTGTGCTGCGGAGAGAAGAGGGTCCGGAGGGCTTCAAATGGGGGCTCCCCCGAAGCGGTGGGGCCCAGACACGAAATGGGCAGTTGACGATGGGGCGAGCTCATCGAGCTCACAAAGCTCGTAAGCTGGCGCCCGGTTTCCAAGCGGTCATTCCCAGTTCGGGCCTTCTCCACAGAGTGGGCTGGGTTGGGGGTGGCTTCAAGGCGATAGGCAAAAAGAGATCCGCCAATTCCATGCAACTTGAACAACTTGGCGGAACAAGGCTGCGAGCACTTCCAACTTCTTCACAAATGATCAAAACTTAGAGGCCTAAACGACCTCGAGTTGGGCCCTCAAAGCATCACTGAAGAACCAGGTCTTTCAGATGGGGCACCTGCGGGTAATCTGAGTCATCCCTGACCCAGCTCGCCAGGGTTTCGACTGCTCGATTCTTGCCGGAGCTCTCTTAAATGGGGCCCTTTCTCGGTCAAAGAGGATCACTGTTGAGAACTCCAAGTAGATTGGGGATGGACCTTGGATGACTTGGGATGGACCTCGGTTGACTGGATGGACCTTGGTTGACTTGGGATGGACCTTGGTTGACCCCAAAATGCAAGCTTTACGCTTCTGCGGCGCCTTTTCTTTTCCGTCTTGGCCACCGCGGTGCGGGTCGAGGTGGCAAGGAACCGTACCCACGACCGGGACGGCCCTTCAAGAGGCGCTGGCTGCCGGTCTATGGGCTCGTGACCTGGGACCAACACGGAAGCAAAAGGACGAGCGAAACGGACGACAGAAGCAACAAGGTGATAGGTGATCAATGTCAACCAGAGAGGCATGTAATATATACATAGTAGCATCATGTAGCAACCTTGGCTCACAAGAATGGCCGAAGACATGCCTTAACCCCGCCTTGGGGTTGCCCTGGTGTTTGAGTTTCAGCTCGTGAATTGTTTGGGGGTGCTCGGTGTTTTGTTGACCGAATGGCCTTGGTGACTCTTCATGTCTTCTAGGTGTCATGTCTTCTAGGTGCCCAACCTTGGAGGCCCCTGAAGCATATGTATTTTTATAGTCACTCACTGGTGTGGCCATGTCACTGACGTGCAAGTCCCGATGTTGAGGTGATGTTGGTGGCATTGGGGTGCCTGCACTTCGGCCATGGCTCTAGGAGCTGTGCCCTGGGCTTCACTGGAAAGACGGGTCTCCAGGTCTGGCTGCGGTCGGCAGAGCCGGAGAAGGCCGTGGGTTTCAGGGCGATACCGGCAAAGAACCTGGAAGACTCGCTTCTGGGTCACGACCTGGCACGGTCCACAACGGCAGGTGTTGAGATTGGTTCCCAACCGGTCGCCGGTTCGATGCCAAGACTGTACCGTGGGTGACGAAGACGACTGGGAGCCCTGGCGCCGGGGGGTCATGGCACCGGGGGTCGCCCCTGTTGAACACCGAAAATGAACAGAAATAGCTCCAACCGAGCAAAATGGTGAGCTCCAGGTTTTGACCCACTACCGTTTCCTCGGAGTAATCTAGTCCAGGTCCAAAATAGGTCGTCTCACCGGAATCGCCAAGCGTTTCCGGGCTTTTTCCATGCTTCAAGGTGAGATCGCCTACATGCTTTGCTCCTCCTTGCTGGCCTTCGTTCTGGGGAATTCCGCCCCGCCCAATGTCAAGTCGCACCTCGCCCAGTTTTGCTCGCGGACGTTGTGCGAGCTGGGAGCTGTCCAGGATTGGCACAGCCCTGTAGTGTGGTTAGCATGCCCTACAAAAGGCGAGCGGAGAATGCGAAAGCACCAGGGGTTTCAGTCCTCGGACCTTCGATTTAACTATCAACTATCCCGTTTGGAACTCAACTTTTGGGGATACAAGCCAATTGAAAGTACCAGCCAGCCTTAGCTCAGCCACTTTGCAGCTGAGATCTTCGTTTGCAAACTTACTCTATGCCTTTTGGAGCATAGGAGTTTTCCGGGTGGATTCCATCGTCGGTTCGCATGGGCGTGACATGCGGTCCCGGATGTAGAAGGACCCTGCCACATCGATGAATTTTCGGCTTCACCAGGAGCGGAACCAAGTGACGAACCCGTTAGCCAGGCCTCGCCATGGCTGGTCACAAACAGAGAGACTCCAGTCGAGGTCACGAAGTGAAGGTGGAATGCTGATTGTTGATTCGCTAGAAACGACCTTCTCTTACCAGGATGGGTGACTTCATTCCGTTCATTTCCGTTCTACGTCTACATCTCCATATATTTGGTGACTTCATTTGGGTACCATGTCTCCACGTACCGTTCCCGTTCCCGACTCCTCCCCATGAGTCAGGATCTTTCACCCGATCTTCGCGAGTGTCTTCGGCTCGTGGCTGGCCTTGTATTTGTGGGCCCTGAGCGACGCGACCCGCAGCTTCCACGACGTGCTGGTGACCTACAGCTCCCCCGGAGCGACCGACCGTTCCGGGTGCGAAAGGTGCGAAAGGTGCCGCGTGGTATCCTTGTGTCATGTTGGGAGACTGGGGATCGGAATTATGGAGTATACATGTCAATGTATATAGTAGTATAATTCTTGTAATTGATGGATGGCTGCAATTCAATTTTAGTTCTTCGCTAGTTCAATCTTCGAATTTGTTTATGCTGCAGTGAGCTCAACGTTCTCAGGTGTGCTGCCCTCATGCCGATGTGTTCTGGGTCTGTCATCCTGCCACCATAAAATTGCACAGTAGTGACATGCCACCATAAAATTGCATAAAATTGCAAAGTAGTGACACTAGTGATGCTCGATTGATGTCTCTGTTGGATTCATTCACACACCCTCCATTGTGCACACATGTATCATGTATCGCCAGTGTCGCCCATCGCGCAATTTCTTGAGAGAGGTGTTTGTTTGACCCTTGTTTCAAGCACCAAGCATGCATTCCTACCTACCCATTCCACGACCTTGTCCCCTCCCAGAAGGATCAGATCAGTTCCACATGTACGCGTTCTCACCCATCAGGCCGTTCTCACCCCATCTCTCATGCTTCGTGTGACCGCCCGGGGCATCGCCTCACCCCGGGCGGTTCTCACCCCACCCATCCGCCCGGCCCCCACCGGTTCGCCCGAAACAGACCCGGTCCCACCGGTGACGAGTCGGTCTCCGTCTCGATCGGGGACCAAATCGATGAGTCGATCGGCTGGTCGGTTCTTCGGCGGATCGGTGTTTTTCTTTTTTTTTTTTTCCGGTTTCGGACACATCACTTGTTGGGCTCACTTTGTTTTGTGATGCGGCTTTTTTTTGTGGTAATTTTAAGACGGTGCCAATATTGTTTTTTCTTCCAATGTTTTCAAGTCCAGGAGGAGCAGGGCCTTTGATGTCAATGCTGCTGACTCTTGGTGAAGAGCATGCTGGTGATCGGATCGGCTGCTCGTGGCCCCCCAAAGCATGGTACATACTTTGTGGTACTGCAGCAGGACTCGTTTTGGCGCCAACTCCTGACTGCTTTCGATGAACTCTCGTCATCCAGGGCTGAGGACGTAGATGACTCTTTGGGAGAGGACTTGAAACATCTTGAAGCTATGTCTTCGACCCTACCGTGATCAAGGGCCTTGAAGGGGTCGTTCGATATCTTGGGTCTAGTTTCAGCAAACGACGGTGGCTTCGCAGGGCTCCTGGCGGTGTAAGTCATGGAACGCCAAGCTTTGTTTAAACCGTTCAGGACCTGAAAGATGACATCTGCAGCTTGGGCGTTCCGCCTGAAACACTGGGAAGCATGTACCTCATGTACCTTCGTGAAAGAAGCATTGCAACAGTAATCACTGGTATAGTTTGGTTTAGTTTGGCATTATATTCAATATATATATATAATATATTATATATTATATAATACTTGACTTAAGAAAAAGAAAACAAAGAACCGTTTGGTGTCCCCTGTCGAGTTATGTCAGGGGATGGAACCATATATAGTGCGTTTGGGTGCTTCCCAACCAGGCAGCCAGACCCAAGCACTTCAAGAGCCAGAACACCCGGCCCAACGCGCCCAACAGCTTCCCTCCGCTTCACAGCCTCTCACAACCCCAAAAACACCTGGCGGGTGGAAAAACCGACCCTTTCAGCAATGCAACCACTTTTGATCTTTTTGCCCAAACCTCAGGCGGTTCCCCCACTTCGCACGCCCCAGGAACCCCTTGGTGGTCGCCTTGGCTTTGCTCCTCTTCGAGCGCCGAAAGCTCCTGAAGAGGGACCGGAAGCTCATCCTCGGCACCTCAGACCGGAGCACCGGAGTTCAACTCGCAGTAAGGAAAGGTTTTGATCCCAAACACTCCATGGGGCTCATATCATATGTAGAGCACACATATATATATATAATATATACTGTATATGCTAGCGCCCCCAAAAAACACCAACCTTAGCTGCTTAGCTTTGGATGCAATCATTCAAAACATTGATATTAGTGCAGATGTAACAGAAGAACTAATTGAGGATAGTTTGTAGATACATATTTTGAAGGTTGCATTGCGTTGGACACATGGATGTATGCGTGCAAAGATGGCAGACGCACCACTTGAATGTAAGACTTTCAAGCGGGTGTTTGAGCTTGCACCTTGAGTGTATTAAACATATTCCGCCGATTAAAAGACATATACAAACTTTCAAGTTTTGAAGTACCATTGAATTTAAGGCTTTAAATATTTTGAATATTTCGCCTCTCAAAACTTAAAATATATAAGTATTGAATTCAAAGGGGTTGCCAATTCCAGTGATCAATTTAATATTTATAACATTCAACTTTAATTCAAATTTAAACATATTGAAAGAACAAAATTCTTAATAGGCAGCACATTTATATAGAATGTTTGAAACGTTCAAATCTAATGCAATATTTATATATTTTCAGAACTTTCTTATTATGCTGAATATTTGATTCCTGGAATTGGTAACCCTCTTGAATTCCATATATTCAAAAAAATCTAAATATTTCGCCTTGTAAAGGCATTCAAAACATAAAAATTGAATTTAATGCTTTACATGTTATTTTTTTATATTTCGCCTATTAACAATATTCAAACTGTTCAAAATATTGAATTCAAAGGGGCTGCCAATTCAAGTAACGAATTTAATATTCCAAACATTTAAAACATTCAGCTCAATTTTAGTTCAATTGTTGAAATATTTTAACCAATGTTTAATAGGCGGAATATATAAACTATTGAAACATTAAAATCACTTTTCATTCAATCAGTTAAATATTTTAGATACTTTTTAACAGGCAGAATACTTGAACAAACTCAATATATTGAATTAAAATAATTGATGTTTTTTTTTAAAACTTGAAATTATGTAATAGATGGCACGCAAACCCTGCAAAATGACGACTCCGTCACGGGGCACGGAGTGAAAACTAGCGGAGAGCCCTTCTCAGTGGAACCTCTGAAAAGTTCAGCTGGTTGGTTCCCAAGAAATCTGTCCTGATCTTTTTCCCATGTTGGGTAGTCAAGTGGCAGCTTCTACAAGAGCTCCCTTGCATCATGACATGAAGCTTCTGAAGCCACGTGGTTGAAAAGCTTAGGGAGTCTTTGGTCTCCTGGGTCTTCACTGCAGGGGTCCTTCTACAATGCTTTCCATCACATTCCCAGTTCCCACCCTCCACTCGTCGGAGTTCATGTTTGTAGGCCTTCTCTGCGCTAAGTCCACTTCTAGCCGATCCTTAGCAACAACCATATTTGAGGGGAGACTAGAGCAGTACTATATAAAGAGCAACCTTAATAAGAAGCTGCGGACGCATTGACTGGCACCTGGATCTGTGAGGAGATGCTGAGCTTCGACACGGACGCAGCAGCACTGGCCACCTTGCCTGGTTGGTGTGGTGACTCTGGTCAGTCCCAGCCTTCAGATTGTGCAGGTGGATCAGCCACTTCAACTTCCGGATCCTAAGCGAAAGATGCAGAACATTAAAGCAACCACCTTTTAGCACCTAGCTAGCACGGGCTATGCATGATCAAGTGCAGTGATATCAGTGTTTTTGCAAATGGCATCCTCAGCCTCAGAGCTTTCTTCCCCTTCATCACTTGATGTCGAGTGTGAAGGATCTCTGGAGCCTCACTGAAGCCACATTCACGCATGATATGCAAACCATATGGGATCAACAGTTGTTCAACACGCACACTCTAGCACTCTTAGTTGAAATATTTAGGTAAGCAACGTGGAGGATTGGGGAGAGGGATACCTGGACACTGGATACCTGATTGCTCAAAGATCTCACGCATGGCTTCCTCCCTGGGGAAGTGTCGTGTTGTCGCTCCACGATTGAAGACTGAGATCAGACGTTTGATTTTCCAGACTTCCAGCCGAGCTCCTAGGAGGTTTGGGCAAAAGCCGCAAATATATCCAGGTTCTTGGAGCCTTAGGGATTTGATGGGATTCCCAAAAGGCGTTGAACAAACATACACTGTTTCTGTAGACAAGGTACGGGAGATTGGTTGCCTTCGCTTCGTTTCTCCCTGTCTTTTTTTGCGAAGAAAACTGGTCTTATTTCCGGTCGTAGTGCGTACCTGCGTATGTTCAGGTAAAGGTTCTTGATCCATCGAACACCCTGCCAGACACACCAAGAGGAGGTGTCTCAGAGTCTAAATGTCAGTTCTCCAACTGCGATGGAGTCGCCATGTGTGACTGTTTGACAGGTCACTTGCTTTTTTGGGATACTTGAACTTGAACATACTATCGATGTGGACATTGCACTTCTATTCATTCAAGCCCTTGTGAATAACTAAGCCAAGAGGCGTATGTACTCCGTGGGTGTACTTTCAACGCATGACCAGCTTGTGTTGATGTATGTCGTTTCGATACGGCGTGTCGGATTTCACCCTTCCATAGATTCCATACCCTTCCTCGTTTGGATGCTCACCTCCTTTGTGAAGGGCTCAGCGGGGACTGTTTGAAACGGTGAACGGACTTTTTTCTGGGTTTGTGCGTGACAAGAAGTAGCAGGAAGTCAAGTGAACAAGTCGCCTAGGGCCTAGGGATTGTCATAACGGAATCACCTGGGGGGATGCCTATCAAAAAGAAAAATTGATTCCTATCAATAAACCTATTAAAAAACATTAATTCGCATCAAAAAGAAAATTTACCTCTACTCCTTTGGTCCTGGCCTGCTGGTTCCTTGATCGCTTGGTCCTTTGCTGCCTTTGTCCTGGTCCCCTGGTCTGTTGGTCCTCTGGTCCCTTGGTCCTCTGGTCCCTTGGTCCTCTAGTCCCTTGCTCCTCTGGTTCGTTGGTCCTCTGGTCCCTTGGTCCTCTGGTTTATTGGTTGTCTGGTCCCTTGGTCCTCTGGCCCCTTGGTCCTCTCATCCTCTGGTCCTTCGTCCTGGTCTTTGGGTCCTTGGGTCTGCACTTTCGAGGCAAGACGCGTTCAAGGTGATTTGGAAATCTGGTCACACATGACTGTGAAGCACTGTAGCAGACCTTTTGTCACCAGACGTAGCAGACCTTTTTTGTGAGCCACCCTGACGGTAAAATTTGAACGAAGAAGGTGCCATTCCAAGGTAGCAAACCTTTTGTCAGCCACTGGAGGGCGAAATTTAGAAGAAGAAGGAGCCATTCCAACGTAGCAAGCCTTTGTTTTGTGAGCAACCGCGCCTGCCACACAATCTGCACTTCGAGGTTCAAGTGCTGCGCCTGCAATGAAATCTGCAGTTCCAGTGCACAAAGTGCTGCGCCTGCCACGAGCCCTGCAACCGAAGGTGCTCAAAGTGCTGCGCCTGCCACGAAATCTAGCGCCGCTCCTGCCACGAAATCTGCTACTGAAGGCGCTCAAAGTGCTGCGCCTGCCACGAAATCTGCACATCCAGATTCACATCGCGCAGCGCTGCCGCGGCGGTTCGCAGTGGCAGGTGCAGCTCTTTGTGAAAGGACATTTTGTTTTTGATATCAATAATTTTCTTTTTGATAGGATATAGAACATTTTCTTTTTGATATCTATATATTTATTTTCTTTTTGATAGCCCGGCCTTCACCTGGGCCTAGGGAGGTCTCTTGTGATTAGTGCCATGAGCACAAGCATACCTTTCATCTGCGCGAAAAGGATCTGCGTACCCACCAAGTCCAAACTAAAGAACTTGACTTGATAGAATTTGTAGGAAGGCTCAGAGCCGGTCGAAGATCATTGTGTTGTTCCAATTGACTAAGGCCGTTACTAACCATCATCATCCACTCTTATTCTCCATGTCACAAACCTGTGGGGGCAAAGGTTGTTTGACTGGCCAGAGGTGAGGTGAGGCTCACAATCCTTTGAGATGATCGCGGTCGCGACCTCTAGAACAACACGACTTGGTTGTAATTTGTTTGGAAGTTTTAGCTTTCTTTTTTCAGGGAGGACGTCTCGCCGTTTTGAGTGGTTACTTGTCCTCCTTCAAGAAGTTGCGGCGATGTCACGCTCCGGCCCCAGGAGCTCCGAGCGACATGAGTGATATCGGAGATTGGTGAACGTTGTGAGGTGACGACGTGGCTCGTCTGCGTGAGCTGGTGGAGGCGGGCTCTTTGGTTAGCCACGGTTTCTCCCCCCCAAAAGAGACGCTCCTCGGACTTCTCTGAGTCCGTGATGAACTGGCTCGGGTCGTCCGTATCCGCCTGGCGAATGGCGGGGAGGGGTCGGGAGGGGTCGGGACCGGAGTCGAACGGAGGAACTGGAAGGTGCAGGTCAGGCGCAGAGAGGTGAAGATGTCTGAGACAAGGGTGCGAAGCGATAGAGTTCAAGTATGTTGTTGAAGTTCAGCAGAGGTTCCTCTGGGAAGCTGGGTGTTGATGACCCCAAGGAAAGTTCATGGATGAACTCTCGACTGCTTCTCAGTCTGTTAACCTCCTCAGGATACTCAGGATGCAGGGGTTTTCTTGAAATCAACATGCTCAATAGTGGGATCCCATTGAGGTGGAGCTGCCCATCTCTCACCTCCGGCCACATCGATTTCAGGCAGACACCTCTGGAGGTCCTGAGCGCAACAATTTGATACACTTGCATTGTTTTTCAGACAGAAGAGGGGCAGAACAGGGTTCGGTATTTAACAGTCTCGGCAGAGTTCTTTGAGCTAAAGTCTCCTTTTTCGTCTATCCATTGACCTGTACAGGGCATTGGGGTTTAAGTCAGATAGTGCGAGTCCGCTGCCTGGCCGTTATCGTGGGGAACTTGGGGGCAAAAAGTCGCGATGTCCAGTCCAAACTCGGGCATGGAGCTCATTTCAGCGACTCTCATGCCAAGGCAAACTTCTT